TGATGTTGTGTCTCGTTTCATTCTTTAACAAGATAGGCACTTTGAAAGACGTACGTCTGGGACTCGTCATGATGTAACTGCAGAAAGTCAACCCTCTCAGAAAATATGAATTTGAGGGGTAATCTACCAGGAAGGAAGATCCAGTAAAACTATTTACATTCTTTACATAGCCATCTAGTACCACTTTCTGGCCTGCAGGGATGACTATCCTTCTCTTGTGTAGAAGTTTGACTTTACCAGCTTTGTCTTGTGCTTTACTCTTGTATATGCTGCGCAGATGTTGGACAAGGGCAGCATAAGCACAGTTCTCTGTGACAGGCCCACTAACCCTTTCATCAAACCCTTCATACAGAATGTCCAAGGCATTGGTCCCAATGAGAACAGAGACTTGAGCAGAGGTAATGGAATTAGGGACAATGAGGGCTAGCACGATGATTGACTTGGGCCTACCAGTAAAAGTCTCAGGAAAGTGTATATCAATTTCAATGTAGCCAATGTAAGGTACACGTTGGCCTGCTGCTCCCTCGACTTCGAGAAGGTTATCGATGGGGCGAATTGGATGGGACGCTAAATGGGCATCATAAAATGACCGGGATATTGTGGTTACTTGTGAACCTGAATCTATTAGGCACTCATGTTGAATTCTACCAACAGTGAGTCTAACCAATGATCTGGATCCAACTAACCCAATCATAAGCTCACCCTCGGTAGGTCGAATGGAACAACAGCTGGATTTCTGACTTCGCCATTTTACTCTGGGACTACTCTCTCTGTCAACTCCAGGACGTCCCTCTACTGGAGCCCTGCCCAGTTTAAAGAAGAGCCCTGCTTTGCTTTCCACTCATCTTGCATCACTTTCAGTTCTTTGTACTTCAGCTCAACTGCAGCCTTATTTATAGCGTTCTCACAGGTCCTGGCAATATGGCCGTCGCCTCCACATCTGAAGCAGAACCAGGCCTTGGGCTGGGCCCTGGGTGTAAACTTCGGAGACACACTGTGAACTTGGGTCTCAGCTTGGGGTATGGGTGGGTATTGACTGGCCTCTATTGCTTCTGCTTCACGTTTCCTCTCCTTTTTAAACTTTTTACTGTTGAGTTGCATTTGTAGCTCAGCAACTTGTTTCCTCAGGCTCTCAGTCTCAGAAATGTAAGCTTGAAGCACACTGGCATTGCCATCAGAAAAACAGGAGAAGTTAACTGCAGTCTGAACGTGCATAGAGGACTTTGCTTTGGAGGACCCCAAATGACGGTTCATGCGGTCCAGCTTAGCAGCCCTTTTATCTTCCTCTGTTCTAAGCTGCAACAAGAACTCAGCAAAATCAAGAGGCTCCCCTGTTCTCAACTCTAACCGGAGGATGAGGTCATGATCCCAACAGCCGCGTTTAAACTGTTTCGTCAGGTGACGCTTCATATCAGATGGACGGACACCTTTTCTTTTCACGGCAGTGTTCAGCAAGGTTTGCAACCTCTGCAGGTAGCTAGAAGCTTTCTCTCCTGGATCTTGGTTTGTGCTCAGGAATTTGGCAAATATCTCTTCTCCGTCTTCCACTGGGCCATAAGCAGACTCCAGCAGCCTCATGTAGTCTCTGGGGTGAGCTGAGGAACCTAACTGCCTCACAACATCTGAAGCTGGAGGAAGCAAGCTTTCTAGTATTTTTCTCCGCTGCATTTCGACAGAGTCGGGGTCATGGAACATTAGCTCAACATGAAGTAGCCACGTTTCAAAGTCAACCTCACCTGGTGGCTTTGGAACTTTGCCGGAAAAGGAGCGTAGCCTCTTTGACTGATTCTGAGAACTGGATGCCTCACTTTTTATCACATGCTCAACAACAAAGCGCCTTACTTCTGGTGGGTTCAGCACGTCCCCGTCCAGATCGTCAGCTGGGGTCAAAACGGTTCTCCCTTTACCCATGGATTTGCGCTTTATCTTTGCTCCTTTGGCAGGCTGAGGGGGAAGGGGGGGTGTTTCAGGCGTTTTTCTAGACCTACGAATCAGCAAAGTCGAGCTCTGGTCAGAGTCAGTGCTACTACTGTCACCTGAGTCACTGGAGTCTGGGGCAGTCTGTGTGAGTAATTCAACACTGTTTGCATGCCATGTAACAGCCGTGTTGCAGATGTTCTGTATGCAAAAAGGTAAATTAGGTTTGATTAAAGCATAAGCAGTGCCTGACTCAAATTCTACAATTGCAGTGCAGCTACCTTCTCTATCTGTGTGTGACACCCTCACTACTTTAGTTACAGTGCCATATTTCTCAAAAGTTGCAACAATGTGCACATCTAAATCTGTCTGAGTAACACCCTTTAAAATAATAGATCGCTCTGCTTTAACACCATAGCTCTGCTCAATATCCATGACTTCCATACTGTATCTTAACCTGGTATCAGCTTCACTCAATGCAAAAAGCTCTTACACAAAGGAAATGAAAAAAAATCTGTTATGTAACCGTACCTATACAATATACCTAGGCCGTGTCCAAAACACTCCTGGCTGGCTCGCCAAAGATGTACGCTACTCTCAATCTCAAGATCCAGATTGGATTGGGGTTACCTAATCAACTTAGGGCATCAGTGTTTGCAATTTTTTTTTTCCCAATCCTGTGAACTAGGTTCGGCTATTAGGAGTGAATTGGCTACGACCTCAATTCCTCTCTCTCTCTCTTAGTAGGAAAAAATAACTTATTTAACAAG